GGGCATATTCACTGTGTTGTAGTTTCATGAATATGTCAAGGAAACATGAGTTTCATTGTTATTTTACATATTCACGTAGATTTAATTTAGCAGATGTTTACTCATCAGGGAAAAAATAGCGAAATTAAAACCTGGTGAATTATTAATACATTTACAGTAAACCTTGGTACTGTCTCTTTTCTTGTGCACTCTGATCAGAGCAAGCTGTTTCTGCAGATGTGTGTGCATTGCATTGTGGTAAATGTTACCAGCAAGCTTGTTCATATGGGACCCACATGCATGGCACAGCCCTGCAGATGTGTGTGCATTGCATTGTGGTAAATGTTACCAACATTCTTATTCATATGGGACCCACATGCATGTCACCACCCTTTAAAGTAGCATTGTGAGGAGATACAATACTAGTATGTTCATTGCAAAAAGTGAGATAACATTTTTATGAATATCTGCTATTAATATTTGTTTACATAGTATCCAAATCAGTTGTCGATCATACTTATATTTTTAACATTAATTATGAAATCAATAACAACTATGCAGTAGTAATTGCATTGTATATAGAAAAGAATTACTTACAGCGAAAGTAAGAAGGACAAATCTAGACAGCAGTGATGGTTGATTTATTGCTCTACCTTCAATGATGTCACTCCACAACTAAGAAAAAAAAAGATAGATGTTACAAAATCTACTTCAGAGAATATCGAGCAATTCTGTTTCACCATGAGCTCAAAAACAGAAAATAATGAAAATTTGAAATCACTACACTACAACAGTGGACAGTGGTTCCATGATGCAATCCTGGTGAGTTAGTTCAAAAATTGTTTGTATCTGTCTACAGTGACACCTGTCTACAGTGACACCTGTCTACAGTGACACCTGTCTATAGTGACACCTGTCTATAGTGACATCTGCCTTCAGTGACACCTGTCTACAGTGACATTTCTATAGTGACATCTGCCAGTGACACCTGTCTATAGTGACACCTGCCCAGTTACACCTGTCTATAGTGACATACACTACAGGATATAGGACAGATTGACATGCCTCAATTTTCTTTAGGAACCCAGTAAAATCCAAAGACCAATAAGTGAGGTCATATTGAGTGGGGGCTAGTGATAAATTACAGTATACTATTTTGCTTCATCACCCACGATTCATTTATTTATGTATGATAAAGGACGATAAAAACATGAATAATATATTTATTAATATTATACACAATAAAAGTATACTACCTCACTAGCAGCCTTGTCCAAGACAGTTTTTTTATCACATGTTTTAAAAGAATCTATCGTATTAAAATTATGCAGCACACCGTGACTCAGAAAGCAATTGTGAGGAATACTAGGGATTCTGCAAGAAACGAGAAAAGAACACTTCAGGAAATGAAAGACAAGTTGAGTACATTGCTTTTCATGAATTTGAATAAATGTTTATTAATTGCTGCACACTGAGCATGCATCATTGCTCAATCACATAAATGCTTAAAAATTGTGAGGTGTTATGCAAATAAAATACAGCATATTTGTTCTGTCATACAAAATAGCACATACTGTTTGAATATTCTTCGTGTTCAAAGGATTATCGTTTTAAGGTAGTGCATAACAGATATCTTATTGAACTATTAGATATCTGTGCAAACATTTTAACAGGTTATACCATTAAAACATTTGCCAATTTTTATAAATGTAGTAATGTTCCAGATACATGTGAACAACAGCATGGTATGCTTTATATCGTCACTCATTTCATAAATATGTCCCATTCAAATACGATAGTGCATTCACTGGTTGCTTAGCTACCAAGCTTATATTATCTTCCAAAGTTTATGAAACTTTACAAAATTATGCACATAGTGTAGTAGTACAAAATATAATTTATGACATCATGGTATTTGGAGATGCTTTTGTATATATCTGTCTAGTTAATTCTCAAAAGACTACTGCAAGCAGGTTGACAAATGACTGTGAAAAAAAAAACCCGGGCAACTCAAAACTTGTTTTTTGGAACAGTATATTAATTACAATTCAGTGAGGCATTTATTTTTCAGTTACTTGATAAGAAATAAAAAGCATAAACTTGATCATGGCTATCAATATATTTTGTATGGAATTTATTGTGTAAAAGACATACACTGCAGATAAACTGACTTCATATTTCCACATAACCAAGGGTTTCAATATTGAGGTATAACTTTTTTGCCACGCAGACAGAAACTGTGATTTGACAATAGATTTATCTTAATTAATTTTATTTCTCAATTTCATTTAAAAGAATTAGTTCCCGTAAAAATTATAATAATATCTGTGATGTACTTACTCGTTGAAGGCAGTGAATTCAAGACTTAGTCTACATGGCAGTCCCACAGCATCGCCTGTTAATATGAGAGAATTTTGAAATAAATACGTTTTTCAATGAATTTCATGTTTGTTTACTGTTATATTAAACATTTAATTTATACCAATATACATAACCAGACTATTTATACTACAGTCCCTCCGTGCCAATACTCACCATTATAATAAAACGCGAATATCTGTCGAGGTTTTTCGTCCAGTTTGTAAACATTGAGTTTATTTTCAGTCAATTTGTGCCAAAATCCGGCGTCCAATGTGCTGTTGAACGGCACAAACCGTAGTGACTCTCGTTCTGCCATCGACTCGGACATCGTAAGAAACGTTCGCCTGTGTTAAACTTTCCAAACTACTAGTATACGCGCGTAGCCACTATCAATAAACCAGTGAACAGTGTTTATGTGTGTTTTCCCTCCTGCATGATTGTCACGAGAAACCTGCCACTAATACCCACTTCCGGGGTGATCGTTTGTTTATCACTTCGCTACTCGTTACTTTTTTCCGCGTCTCTGCCAGGTGGGTCTGATTACAGTGTTGATTTACTCAACATTTGTTTTGCTATGGCTACCACTCTGGCAGTCGACAAAAACAAGTAACATGTGAAAAGAACGGCATGGAAAAAAGGTAGGTATATTAATGTTTTTTTTGGTGTTTTTTTCTGTTCAGACTTATGCATGTACATAACACATAATTTTAAAACTATTTCCTGGGCCTGATTTTCTACAAAAGTACGTGTGAATAACGGACACAGCAGACGACGAATATCGGATTAGAACTCTGGTTATTGTTTAGCGGAAACCAAAAACTTGAGTCGCGACGACGTTATATATCAGTTCTGAAGCCGAGACTTAGACGGCAAGACTCCGGTAGTTATAAATCTACAAAATACCCTTCCGAACAAACAATACTCCGAAGTAACAAAAGAAAACAATAGGTGCGGTTGTTTAATACACCTCACTACACCTGGGACATTTTGTTCTCTGTAGTAGGTTGTCGGGAGCAAAGGTCGATTGGAATGAACAAAACATTGACGTTTGATAATGATTGTCAACTATGTGGTCCTATATTTCATTCAGTCATACCACGTGACACCTCACTGATTTATTACAGGATTCTGAATTCCAGACACATTGATGCCAACTAATTCAGGTAGTAATGCTAAAAAGCTAATAATAGGTTAAGTGCACTACTATATACAGGCTGTACTAGTATTTAAAATAAGAGATGAACACTTTCCCGAGTAACGTTATGAACACTTATTATTATTCACTCATATATACATATATATATATATATATATATATATATATATATATATATATATATATATTATATAAATATAAACTTTTTTTTTATAAAACATTATTGTCCTTGTATCTGTATCTGAATAAACTGAAGCATATTCTATTCTATTCTATTCTATTCTATTCTATTCTATTCTATTCTATTCTATTCTATTCTATTCTACATTAAACATACCTCAATGATTATAAAGGTGAATAAATTCTCAGACACATTTTGTCTTTATATTATTCTTCAAAAACGTGTAGGATATTGAGTATATTTTGTAAAATATAACAAATTTGTTTTCTATCCCTTTTCTTGTCAACAGTATATGGCAAAAATGGCAAATAATAACGTTAACTCGGACTACTTTCCATTCGACACGAGACTGCTAAACGAAAGTATTTACGAAGTGTTTCGTATAACAAAGAATGTGACGGCTGAACTGGTCAAACTGCAAGACGTGATAGCTGGTCAAATCATTGATATGCATACGATATGGTATTTCTTCATCTCAGTAATTCTTGTTTATCTGTTAACATCGTTTCCTCGAGTACTCGGAGCTCGCATCAAAGTGTACTGCATCCTCGTCGCCAACGCTGCAATTGAACTTGCGATAACGTTAAATTTAGAATTCCCGTCAGACGTGGTGAGTATCGAATAAAAACAAACAAACTGTATGTCATTTGCGGATTTGGTAAGTGGTCTATTAGTCGCCGTTTGCAACAATTTTATATGAACTACTAATGTGCTTGTGGCGCTGACCCTGGCACCGACAGAGTACGTACATTTGTCCCAGGTTCCATACACGTGTATCTAGACACCACTGGATTATATGACTAGACATGAGTTTACGACCCCATCCCATTTCAATTTTTAAACAGCAAATGAAACTCTGTCCATGTTGTATGAATATGTTTTTCAGTACGTACTACAGCGGAGTATATGGTTGACCAGACAGTGTTGCTGGACAATGGCCGTCTTCTGTTTAGCCTGGGATGCCATTAACTACGATGACAATGGCGATAGCCAGCACAAAGACGCAGGTATGAATGAAGGGTGATTTGTTTGTCTAATGTTTACTCTATTCCCGACAAGTCATGAATGAAGAGTGTGTGTTGTTAGAAATGTATAGTGACTGCGATTAATCACAATGTGGATATACATTACACATTGTAACATAGACGATGATAGCGTAAGTATCTCTACAGAAACAATCACTACTACAGTCAAATATATAACCACGATTACTAGAATAACGTGTTACTAGTAGTATTGAAGCTGCAGGAATGTCAGACTTGCGTACTCACAGATGGACCACAACGACCTTCTTGTACCTTCCAATTCTTTTGTTTATATCAACTGTGTTTTCAGTTTATGTAGCGCTTGAACAACATAATGTGGCAAAATAGGTCACAATACAATGTAACTACAATTGCTTCTTGATGTCCACACTATTGATTTGCACTTTTTTAAACCGAAACTAATATTACACTACATAGTCGTTGTCGCATCAGACTCATGAGTGGTAAACCCAAGGTCAAATCCTACCTTAGGCTGAACACCATAAAGGTTAACCCCCTACCCTGGGTGAGTGTGATAGAGAAATGGCCACACAGCCCTGTCATGTAGTCCCAAACATGAATAAAATACATCATGTGTCAGTACTAGTATTTGCAATTTGCACATACCAATAAAAAAAAGTCAGGAGAGACAACAGCGACATTCAATGTCCGGAACTGTCGCCTGATACAAACAAATATTACACTCGGAGGCAAGTAAAATTCCCGTTGTTGATGCCACACTCAATATGTTCTTGAACTGGCTGAAAGTATCAGAATTCTATTCTCTCAAAATTTAGAACAATTTGTACCCACTCTCAATTCCAATGATGTTCTATTTCAGGTCACTGTGTCATGGAGGATGCGTCAATCTGCAAATCTATACCGGGTGTATTCATCCCAGAAGAGAAGATTTCAAACGTTATGAAGGTTTCGGATAAACAGCGTAGTCAAGGAACAACGATGACACATGACAGAAGTCAAGGGGACAAGAATGAATTGATGGATGTGTTAATAAATACGGTGAAAGAGTTGCGTAAAGAAAACACTCATTTAAAGGAAAAAATGCGATTATTGGAAAAAAGGAACAGTAGGCATGTCCCGACGTCACAACCGGCGAGTGGACCCCAAGATCTTAAAGCGGAAGGGTCATCACCTGCGCACGCGCGGGATTTCAGTCCCAAGCGATGATAACAACACACGCTAAAAACGCAAAGGCTTATGCGTAGACGCAAGTTTGTAAACAATGACACCCTCTGGCAATCCCGTGAATTTTATTCACGATAATTTTGTTTTTATGAAATAATTCTTGAGAAAAAATCTTATTTGCTAATCATGATGAAATAATATTATCTGTTTTTTTCTTCAGTGTGGTTTTTATAATATTTTATTTTGATGTAAAGAATATATATATATATATATATATATATATACTATATGCCGGATGCGGCTTCATGACGTCATGTAATGAAGTCGCACCGACCTCATAATTTCTCAAAAAATGGTTTTGAAATGTATTTCTTTGACGTGTACAGCTGGCGTTTAGAGAGAGGAAAGAATGAATTTATATTTTATTTAAACAATACAAAAATGAACATTAGGAATTATGAACAGTATAACTTATGATACATGCGACTCAAAGAATGAATGTGTGCAGTTTGGTTATGTTTGTTGTTAGTTACCAGTGACAAACTGTGGAGCTCCCCACCTAAATTGATGTTTTTCTGAAGTTACATTTAGATGTACAAGTTGATGTCACGTGCTTTAATCGTATTAGTTTCCTGTATAAGAATATGTTTTTTTAAGGATTTCAGCTGATTATTACACAGTAAATCCATGCCATCATTTTTTTTATTAAAACTTCCAATTTGTTGTCTCAATATTTGCCTCCAATATAATTGAACCCCAACGATAGTCGATTGCCCCAGTACGTAGTAAGTTGTGAACAGGATGTCTTTCAAGGCCCGTTGAAAATAGTCCAAATTAAAAATTAGTTTTTTAAGCTTACTTGGATACATTCAATTTAAAGAAACAAGTTAAGTCAACAAAACTAAATAGATACCTGCGTTTGAAGCCTATTCATTGCCCTCTTGGTTGTATTTGACAATGTAATCATACAGTGGTTATACATTGTATATGGTCATTCTAACCCGCATACAAACAAGACCAGATCAAACTATAGTACCAATATTGAAAAGAGTCTATGAAAACACAAAAGCTTACAGAGGGTTTGAAAGTCTTTTCAAATTATTCTTCGATCACGTCATGCATGTTCGAGTTTAGAAATTGGTTCACTTACGAATTCAACACCCCCAGTCCCCACACCAGCATCAGGAAAACAACACAGCGTGAACACAAATCTAATTGGAAAATCAGCGGAAAGGTGGAATGGAAATGCTGATAAAAAAGTACTAAAAAGTACCGAATTGCTCTTGAAATAATCTCGTAAGTGTACACAGACCAAAAGTATGATTTATGTAAGGATATTCTAAATCACCTGTTTAAATTGTTGTGAAGTCGTCTACACATTCGACTAATCTACAACAGAAGGTCATAAACTCAATATTAGAATATAGCTGGCTCGACAAAAATATGTCTCTCTCCGAAAACATTTTGAAAATTTTAATATCAAACGGCCAACAAGAGCAGAATATTTCATTGTCCATATTATATCAACGACAGTTATACGACAGTTTGGCCAATTTAAAGCGCTGCAGTCGTCGCGCTGCGCACGTGCGACATTTGTGTTGATAAACATCGATTTTCCCATAATCCAGTGCGCTCTTCTAATAGAAATCACGAGTATGAGGTTTGACCTGGGCACGACTTGCACGATTTACCGTCGGCGACTCCTTCGATACCTTCCAACCACCCAGAAAATACCTAATTAAAGCTTCGTAACGTCTCACTTTGTACTCGTTGATCTGTGCAACAGTCAAAGTCGACTTACAAAAGAAAGCAAAAATCAAATAGATTAAATTTTGAATACTAGTAGTACCGGTATTTTACAACTCGTAATGTATTTAGAAAGATGCAAAACTGGAACAATAGAATGTTGGAATAACCTAAACACTCTTATTTTAGAGAAACACTAGCAAGATAGGATGCCTTCTTGTTCTGTTCGAATGTCTCTGCATTTGATGTGTTTGCTTCAGGCGGAGCATCAAAAACAAGAAGGTTTGCCAAAACACTTTCTTGTCTTGATTGACCTATGAGTAGCTGTCAGCCTTCGGGAACTTTTGAAAGTATATCACTTTCTTCGCGAAATCCAGAACGGGCATGCGTGCCCCTTAAATTGATTTAGATTTCTGCAACGTTATTATCGCATTTTTTATTCGACTTCGATATTTTCCTACATAAACTAGTGTTACCATGGCGATATTATCATGATTCACATACAAATTAACAAAAATGAATATTTTCTATATTGGTCAAGGAATGTTAAGAAATTTTCATATTGATGCTTTTGTTAATACATTTAATTTATTATTTTAAATTGGGATAATTTTGAAATCAATAATTATTGTATATTTACTACGGTGATATTATCCAAACACTGTATTTGCGAAGTTTTCCAAAGTAAAACCGAGGGCGCTGTTCATTTCTCGTGTTTCCGGTGTTTCGTTTGTTCGGTAACTGTGTCCTCCAACGAAGTAATTTGATTGGCCACAGCTGAACAGATAAGGACACTCAACAACAACTCATTCAAAAGTTTTAAATCCCTGGAGCATGTGAGTGTGTGTTCGCACTCTTACCAAACGTTCACTTTACAATAGATCGTTATATTTTTTGCAATTACTTTGCTGGTTTGATGTCTGATGGCCATATAACGTCGACGGAAATGAGTGAGTGGTCGACAATGCGATTGGTTATCGGAGCTGCTGTATTTATTACGATCGTCCTATTTGATCTCAGTATCGCCTCCACTCCGAGATTTGAAATGTCCAGTGACGATCAGTCAAAATTTAAGGAAGGAGAGACGCAATTTTCCGCTCTGCAAGAGTACACTCGTCACCCAAGATACGGCCAATGTTGGACCAACGCCTTACAGCAAATAAACGAGGGATGCAGGCGACTAACTGATGATGAACAAAGCCATCTTGCTCTAGCGTTTGCAAATTGCCATTTATCGAAGCTGGGTCTTAACACCTATGAATGTTTACCGGGACAAACACTCAAAGAATGTACCACGAATATGGATGACAGGGGGTTCATCGCTTATACAGAGTTTTTCACTCATACGCAGAATATTTGCTTTTTCCTTCAAAATCAAATTTGGCATGAGCGAACAGAGAGTACTGTGTCGAGATTGGCCGATAGCTCCGAGACTGTCGCCGAGCAATTGGAGGTGGCTGGTAAAATCCAAGAACAGATGATCGTCAGGCAGAACGAATCTCTGAAAAACCAGGAAGAAATTTTACAGAGTGGACAACATTTGAAGGAGACACTGAACTCGCAAACTGAAGATATCCAGTCTTCATTCAATGAAATGAAAGCCACAGCCGCAGAGCATAAAATTTTATTTGCTGAGGCTTTCCAAAAAGTTGCTGATTTGCAGAAAATGGTGATGATAGAATTCACTGGTTTTTATTCCTTGTTTTTTTATGCATTAAGTGCCTTGATATCTTATCTCTTGACCTCCACGCCGAGAACCAGCAATGCACGATTCTGGATGTTTATAATATTACTGGTGAACATTACTGTTGAGAGGGTGATTGTCAGGATAACAGACGATACGGTAAGTAACGATGAATAATGCGAGGGTAGTAAGTACTTTTTATCAAATGGAGTTTGATTTTCTTTGGTTGCTAGGCTTCCTTGTGCATGGTAGCGTCAATTTTTCAAGCAAGATGCAGGAACTGCTAATTATGTTATAGTTTAAGTTCTGTGATGAACATGTTGATTTGGTATTGTACTTTTGTAGTTAATTGAAATTAACAAAGTATTGTAAAATCTGATAAATTTAATATTCATAAACATCATGCACTGATGAATGAACACAAAATACTAGTATACTGTAAAGGGGTTAATTATTTACTGGGTTTTAATTTTGCTTATTTCGGTGACTAAAAATTGCGCAAAATTAAAACCCAATGAATATGTAAAAATTTAGCATAGAACATATTATCTAAATGATAAGACCATGAATTTAAACCCACTGAATTTGACTGAATATGGTAAATCAGCAAAATTTAAACCCAGTGAAAATTAGTCATTGTACAGTATTAAATTTGTGACATCTTGGTACATCTTGGTATTCATATGTACATTTCAATACCGTATATAGAAAGAATAGAAAGTGAATAGCACGATGTGATTGTGAAACTAATGTAAAATAAACGTTATTCAAAGAAATTGTCAATACCACATCGTTTGTATCTTCAGAACAGATTCTGTATTAGCCCCAAACAGAAAGTATACAGTTCCTGACTGGAGTGCTACACACATTTGTGCTACGTTCACACGACAGCATTTTATCGGAGCCTAACGGCTCGAGCCAGCAAAAATGTCCGTGTGAACGCGTTCGGCTCGAGCCAAGTTCGGCTCCACTAAACCCTCGGGGTTGAACTCCGACAGGGTTAAGTCCCGACATGGCTCCGATCGCATCGGGGCCCAACTATCGGAGCCGAAATCACGCCCTCAATCGTCTTCTTCGAGTAACCTCTCATTTCAATTGTGGCGGAGACAACATCTTTCATAATTTCACGTAATTTCCCGCTTGAATAAAAGGTACGCGTCCTAGTGTATAGTAACGAATCATTGCGATAAATTGATAGCTCAATGGGAAACAAAAAATGGCGTATGAAATTATGCGACAAAAACTTGAAAGAACGACTGAATGGAAACTTTTTAAAGACACTAAAGATAAAAATC